ATATAAAATTCACCCTCTCTCTCTCTCTCTCTCTCTATATATATATATAAATGTAAAATAATTATATATATATATATATACACACACACACACACACACACATGTCTGTGTGCGTGTGTGTGTGTATAAATATATAAGTGTATAAATATATAAACATTGAATCTATTGAATAATGCCACTATAAGAAATACTGATTGGAGTCAAAAATGTGACAACTAGCCACGGTCTCTTCTAAAATTAATCTGTCTTGCTCTTATCGCTTGTGTGTGAACGGTTGCCAACCCGGGGTTAAGACATTTCTCTCTAGGTTTAGTGTCAGTTAAATGCAACACACTGATCAGATTGCATCTTTATAACATAATAAAAATATTTAGTTGTCACTGACATGCAGCGTTCATAGTTGGTCTCTACAATATGTGTGATATACACACTGGCCAGATGCACAGGTGTTTCACGTCATAGCTGTTATTATATTATATATTTTAGCACAGTTTGAATGCTCAATTGACCAATCAGCGTCCGGGGCCGTATCCATCCGCTTCATTCGGTCGGTTAAAGCCAACAAGATGGGTTTTCAAAATATCCTGTGCGTGTATGTGAGTGTGTTTGTTTATATTATAATTTCGGTGCAGATGTTTGTGCGTGCATGCGCACGTGTGTTTATATACAGCAGTCTGTAGTGCTTTTCAACTGTTTGCTCTTGCAGCATGTGTTCTGTATTACTCCTTACAGCACACCTCTGGTATGCGCTGCTATACTGTACTTAACCAATCGTATATTATGCTGAACGCAGCTTATTACTCTGTCTACCTGTCTCTCTCTCTCTGTCTGTCTCTCTCTAGGCGTTCTGGAGGGAGGACGACGCTGCATCTGTTCATTCTTCTGAAGCTCCTGTGGCCTGTGGCAGACGCCGCGGCTCACACAATGGAGACAACAGCAGCGAGCACGGTAACACACTCACACGCTACGCTACAGATATACACACGAGTGTTTGCGAAGGTCTCGCTGTGTGCCAAGTGAAACAGATCTGCTGCAGGCTTGTCATCTCTAGCATACATTTACACTTTAGCACCACCACGGGGGTCTCAGACACACACACACACACACACACACAAACATGCAAGTACACACACCGGTAGACTGCTCCTAAATAACTGCAGCCGCTCGTGTGTGTGTGTGTGTGTGTGTGTGTGTGGATGTGTGTTGGACAGGAAATGGTGCATGATGGATATAAAGACTCTTCTCTGGGCTCCTCTGCTCTGAGCACCAACCATGGCCAATAAAAACCAAACTACATACTTCCCCGAGCACCACATCTGTGTGTGTGTGTGTGTGTGTGTGTGTGTTTTTTGTTCGCTGTGCCTCAGCGCAGCAGCTGTGAGTCTGGCTCGAACAGAATATCTCACTACCTGAGAAAGAGAAACAACAGACAGACTAACACACAGTTAAATGATCACAATGAAGCACAGAGTCTGTCCTAGAGCATTGTTTATACTGTAAACATTTGCTTGACTTCTTATTTTAAGCTTTATGTCATACCTTTTTACTTTTCTATGTCAATTTTGTTTTCAAAAACGGCTAAAATTTAATTTCCATAACATTTTGTACCTTTTTTCTGATGCATAAACCTAAAGGGCTGCCAGTAGGCTTTTAGAACTACTAAAGGTTAAGACTTTTAATACTGTAACATTTGCATGACAATTTATTTTATTATTATTATTTTTTTTAGCTTTTAGGTCAGGGGCCATATCAAACCTTTTTACTTTTTTTATGTGAAGTTTGTTTTCAAAAACAGCTAACATTTTAATTGCATGACATTTTTTGACGCATAAAAGGAATGAGCATGCTTTTAAGACTGTTAATGGTAAAGATATTTTATACTGTAAACATTTTTTTAGTTTTTAGACTGAATTTAAAGGGGCCATGTTATGCATTTTTACTTTTTTTCTTTTACAATTTTAGGTAACATTTAAATTAAGTGCTTTTATTCAGGTCAAATATATTATTGAACATCACTGAATCATCCTACATACATTCATGTATACCAACAAAACTACCTTTATGTATATTTAAGGTAACAGTTGCAGGTTAACACTTTTTACAGTGCAGTTTTTTTTCTGTCTGACATGACAACTAGTCTGAAACCATGTTTTTTTTCTGGTTATTTTCAATAAATGGTCATTTTCACAAGGGAGGACATTTATAGCTCTGAAAGGAAAATTTGGCTCCTCATGATATGACCACTTTAATAAAACTAACTGTTAACTAAACTCATCAGAGATGTTGGAACCATATCAAACAGAATTTGAAATAATTATAGTTGTTATGATTCATATTTAGAGCATAAAAAAGTAATAATGTGATTATTATGTTGTGATGAAAGAAATGAACAGTGTAGTCATGCTCAAATTATGGTGAATGAAATTGAAGTACTTGTGACGTACTTTAATAGAGAAAAAACATCAAACTAAATATGCATTTGCATTCATTAGAAGGTTTTTGAAATGTTAAAACCCCCTTTTAAATGTTCTAAAAAATGTGAAAAAGCAAAATGAAAATTAATGAAGCCAATGCAAATATATATAAAAAATCAGTACACTGTCACTCAAATCTGTTCAAACTGTAATTGGTTTCTTTTCCTCAGGTGACTTTCTGGATCAGAGTGTTGCCTCTCCAAGCACAGGAGACGATGAAGACCCTGATAAAGAGAGGAAGAACAACAAGAAAAGAGGCATTTTTCCCAAACTGGCAACCAACATCATGAGGGCATGGCTGTTCCAGCACCTCACGGTAAAACATGTCTCTGCTTTCCCAATGATTATGCAAATCAAGCTCTTATCATTTTAAATCGCATTGTGTGTTATTTTGTCATAGAGGAAAAACCAAACCAGAATGTGCTTAACTAAGGGCTAAAGTTATTCAACTTTATGCTATATAAATGTAAATGTCATAATTATAGCTTTCAGAAATATTAATGCTCAACTACATTGACAGTAATGAAAGTATAGTCCAAGTTAAATGCATGTGGATGTGGATCGCTATAAGTTGCTCTGTAGTTATCATGTAACCTTAAGTTGTGCTTCTATATTTGTAAACTTAATCTGAAGGTCATCAATACACATATAAACCTATAAAACAGCTTACAGATGCACAGAACAAGATAAGAAGCTCATGCGGCGTGTCTGTAGCTGCACGGTTACATTATTTCAAGCTCAGTGACGCTCCCACATTGCCTGGAGGCTAGTTAGTGAACACACACACACACACACACACACACACACACACACACATACACGGAGATGCACTAATGACCGGTGTAACGATATATTGGGATGAAACACAGGCAGGGTTTCCTTACTGTTGTCATGTGTACAGTGTGATAACGGTTTCCATGGTAAAGTGGGCGGGCACAACTCAGAGCCCCTCCCCCTCCCTCTAGCCTTGAATATATAATCAGTGATATTGCTTTCAGAGAATCTCTGTATCCTTGTTTTCCTTCTCTCTCATTTGGAAACTTGTTGAATCTCCTTCCAAACAAATAAGCGCTCACACTGCCTCATAAACACTAGCTCATATCCCACATAAAGGCTGTGATTTGGATTGGGTAATTAGTGGGTAGTTTGTTCCCTTCTTGACAGCAGATGTAAAGCAGCAGAATCCAAAGCTGCCTGAGCAACCAACATTAAAGTAGGAACATTTTAGAAGTTTTTTTTTGCTTTCAGATTGCTTTCGTTCTTTTGTATTTTTATTATTATTTATAGAAGAGTCACAAGAGGACAGGAACGAGCTAAACATGTGCTAACCGCTAATCGCTGCGTACATTTTAATCAAAATATACCTTTTAAAAATATATATATTTATATTTATAAAATATACTAATATATATTAGTATATTATACTAATATACTTTTTTGTATATCTTGAAATATATTTAAAAATATATTTGGAAATATATATTTTTTGCCATATGGATTCAAATGTTTGGGCTCAATAAGATTTATTTATTTTAATATATATTTATTTATTTATTTATGAAAGAAAGAAATTAATACTTTCATTTAGTAAGGGTGCAGTCAATTGTTCAAAAGTGACAGTAAAGACATTTATAACATTACAAAAGATTTATGTTTCATGTGTCGTTCTTTTGAAGTTTCTATTCAATCCTAAAAAATGTATCACAGTGTCCACTAAAATATTAAGCAGCAAAAACTGTTTTCGACATCAATAATAATAAGAAATGTTTCTTGAGCAGCAAATCAGCATATTAGAATGATTTCTGAAGACACTGGAGACTGAAGTAATGATGTTGAAAATTCTGTGCTTTGCATCACAGGAATAAATTATAATTTATTATTATATTTTAAAATATATTCATATAGAAAATAGTTATTTTAAATTGTAATAATATTTCACAAATGACCCCTTTTTTTTTACCCGTTTTACTGACTTCCAAAAAAAATCACAAAAATCACAAATATCCTTCACAGAGGAGTCAATACAATATGCACAAGCTGGAAAAAAAAAATCCATCCAAGATGGTGAATAAAATTGAAGAAGTGTTGATATATTTATCATTTTTTCAATATGGAGTGTAAAAAACCATTTACTCAGTATTTGTGTGTTATGTATCTTAATGCTTATTAGAGTATTGTGTGATTAGATTAGCAACAGTGCCAAACCCTGCTGAAAGCAGTTTATATGAGAAGAGAACCAGCACATGATCAACTTAAGAACTAACATGACAGTCACAGGGTAAAAGTACATATTTATAACATTATTGTACAGATATTTTGTAGCAGCACACGAACACCTAAACACACTTCACTGTGATTTGGAGGCAAACAATGAAACAGACTCTGGAAACAGATGCGAGGGCTTTCCTTCAGGCACCGAATAAGGTGGTTAGCATGCAGATAGATGACATTACAACATTCCCCGAGATCATTAGCGGGTCAAAGGTTGTGGGTGTAAAAGAACGCGCCCCCAACCTTTATTCCCGTACAGTTGCCTGATCCATTCAGCTCCAGCAGCCACACAAACACCATCGCAGACATTACTGCATCCTTCTGTTTGAAGTTTAGAAACACGAGAAGCGCATGCAAAACCTAATTCAGATGTTTTCCACCCGGCCTCTTCCCAGGCTCTGATCATTTTCAATCTCCATATTCGTGTTTGTCAGTGGTAAATGTGATTTCGCAGACCTCCGCTCACTGATTACCCTTTAATTCTGCTGCAGCGCAGACCAAAGGAATAGTTCACCCAGTCATTATTTTCTTCATTCTTACTGTTGCTCAAGACCCATATGCTGCCATTTTTTTATAATGCATGAGTCATTTTGACTACTTATACTGTGTTTTTTTTTTTTTT